GTGAAGGCGGCGGGGGGGGGGGGGGGGGGCTGGGAGGTGTGGGGGATCGGCTGGGCTGCCTGCTCCTGCATCTAACCCTCCCCTGCCCCCAAGGCAGCATCCCCGGTCAGCGATACGGCGATGGTTCCGTGCCATAAGCTCCTACACAGCTAGGTCACTAAACAGATAGGGCCTGAGTTTGGTGGGTGGGTCAGGAAAGGAGGGTAAAAGTGGCTTTTTCCTATTGTTGCCCTCTCTGTGTTCTGAGGCTGTATGGGAGTCTCGGGGCAGTTGCTGACAGGCGCTGATCCACATTCAGAGGTTCATTTTAATTAACTTGAGAGCCTGGATGTGGTGAAGGGCTAGCAGGGATGTGGCTTTGGTAGGGCTCAGGGTGGTTCTTTTTGCCTTTGGTTAAATCACAGACGTCTATGGGCTGTCTGTAATTTCTCCCAGTGAAACTCCAGCTTGATGATTTTGGTCATGTTTCTGGTACTGTAGGCTGTTCCCACCCATGGTGAGAGCAAGGGCACGCAAGACCTCAAGCTAAGAGAAATTGGGACCCGCCCATTTAGAGGGCGGTATCTATGAACCCTGATTTCAACACAAGATTTTCCCAAAGGAAGCCACCGGATGGGACTGCCCAGGCAGCAGAATATAAAGACAAACTAGCTCCACTCGGCAGTTAGATACCATGATGATAGACATTGCGGTTACGTCTACACTGGCATGATTTTCCAGAAATGCTTTTAATGGAAAACTTTCCCGTTAAAAGCATTTTCGGAAAATTGCGTCTAGATTGGCAGGACGCTTTTCCACAAAAGCACTTTTTGCGCTAAAGCGTCCGTGGCCAATCTAGACGCGGTTCTGCTCAAGAAAGCCCCGATCGCCATTTTAGCCATCGGGGCTTTTTTGCGCAAAACACTACTGTGCTGTCTACACTTGGCCCTCTTGCGCAAGAGGGCTTTTGCCCGAACAGGAGCAGCACAGTATTTCCACAAGAACACTGACGATCTTACATGAGATTGTCAATGTTCTTGCAGAAATTCAAGAAGCCAGTGTAGACAGCTGGCAAGTTTTTCCACAAAATCAGATGATTTTGCGGAAAAACTTGCCAGTCTAGACACAGCCTGGAGGAGATGACTCCTGTAGCTGGCTAGAAATAGGATCGCCATGCAAGTGCGTATGGCCAGATTGGGTTGTGTTGGAGAAGGCAGAGTGTTCTGCTGATCAGAGTGTGGGACTGGAAGGCACGAAGCTTAACTTCTGTCTCCACCTGTGCTCCAGTGAAAATGGGTCTTCCCCTCCCTACATGCCAATCTCTGGGTGAAAGGTGCCATACAAGCACCAATACTGAGCCCAGCATTCCACTTGGTGCTGTGCAAAACACACAGGACGGTGCTGCCTCCACCCAGAGAGCCGACAGTCCACGGGTCCCATCCTCAGCTGATCACATCAGCTCCCCCTCGCAACCCAAAACGGTTAGGGCTCTCTGACCAATCTCAGAGGCCCTTGGATCTGGGCAACAGCTACCTGGCATGACCCCAAAGGCTGAGTGGGTAGGAGCTGCTCTGTCCTCGTCTCAGTCTTTGGGAGCGTGTGTGTGTTGAGTGGGCGTGGCAGAGCTGTGGTTTTACCCAGAGCACGCAAACCGGTTCAGATTCTGTAAGAACTGACTCCAAGCTCCATGGAGCTTGTGCGTGGGGACAGTTCTCTGACCCATCTCCCTGACTCTTTGAAAGTTCACCCCAGTCCTGCTTGGCAGGTAGTTACCTGGCATGGGCCTGTATGTGGAGTGAGCCTTTTTCTCTGTGTGGGGGTGTCGTGTGCCTCTCTGTGGGAGGGGGGTCGTGTGCCTCTCTGTGGGAGGGGGGTCGTGTGCCTCTCTGTG